AACAAGAAACAGACTCCTTGCCCTGAAAAATCCCTCTTTATTATCTCCTGTGAATTAATAGCATTCACACACCAAAAAGTCCGGGCAATAATTCTTCAAAGAGTTAACTGCAGTAACAGACCTTATCAGCTCCTTGAGATAATTTTGTGAGCTTCCAGCCCCAAAGCTGTAAATTAAGTTCTGGCAAGCAGTCTCTGAGGCATGAAATACGATGAGCCAAATCTTCAGAAATCCAAATGGTTGTTTCCTACAACCACTACTCCTTTTTCCTTCTATTTATTTCCCAGCCAGGGAGGGCCATTCAACATCCACGTGTGCCTTGCTTCCTGAGTCGATTCCTTGTCCTCAGTTGTTCTCCTCTCGTAACAGCTCTGCGCATACGTGCATCTGGAACAGGCCCCAGCTGTTCTTCCTCCCCACTTATTTCCGCCTCCGAAGGCAGCTGCCTCTCTGGTGGCTGGGAAATGTCAGACGGCCCTGAGTCTATCTCTGCGTCTGACACTGAGCATCCATCAGAGCCTTCCTCAGAGGCCCAAGTTCCTCCTGAACCTCCTCATTGCCCGAGTCTGCTGCCAGCTCCACTGGCAGCTGGCGGGCCACAACAGGAAGATCTATCATAGCCACCCAGTGCATACCAAGACCATGGAGATATGAGTTATATTTTGGGGTGAAGCTGGGAAGCTATGAGGTAAACCTTTTCACATCACCTCATGCTACAGTTTCAATGAAAACCACCATCCAATCATTGTATTAATTAAAAACAACAATAAAGCCAGTTTTTAATGATTGCTTGTATACATCCTTGTAGTGATCTGTAGCATAATTCAACCAATGCTGAGGCAATAGAAAGGGTGCGTTTGTTGACACACTCTCATCCCTATCCTACAGGTTTTGTGGATGGATGGTGTTTGGAGAACAGGAAAGAATAACCAAAGAGTAAAAATGGCAGCCACAACACAAGCAGTAGTAATACATGAAACACAGATAAAAAAGGAACAGGACTTCAGATGTGCAGTGGCAACCGCCATTTTGATTCTTTGACCTCTCTGCAGATATCTTGGGAAAAGAGGAAGATTCGGACACTTCCCTTCCCATTATGAGGATGGGACAAGGCTGGTTTCGTGAGAACGACGGATGCCAAAGGAGGATTATGCATCTGAATACTCTGGGAGTGCTCAGTATGAATGAGGAAAGCTACCACGTTTAAGGAAGTATTTTTTTCCCAAGGAAAAAGGTTCAAAGATTTGGTTATTACTTCTCATATTTATTGTAAACAATGGCCTTGCCAGATTCTGCAATTGGTTCCATCTCAGATGATTTATTGACAAAATCAAAGACATGAAGACTGAGATACATCAACTCCGTCATAACATGGAAGCACCCACACGGCCACTTCTTACAGCCTTCACACTGAAGATGCTGCTTGGCATATTTTTAAAAAATGAGAAGGACTAAAAAAAAAAACTGGACATAGTACATGGTTTGGCAACCTATCAATGACAATCTTTCATGTTTTACTTTATAATTTATTTATAAAATTTATTTGCCACCCATCTCGTATCCAACAGATCAGGGGTGGGTTCTACTTACCTTTACTACCGGTTCGCAAGTGTGATTGGACACACAGGTGTAATTATCTTATTAAGAAGCATCAGTCAAAAGCTTCAATTGATCAAAACTGTGATGTGTCATCTGGAGATGACCATGGCATATAGAATATGGTGACTTGGGGTGGAGGAGTAGGTGGCAAAGAGCATAAATTAACAAATAAAAAGGAAGAGAAATAATTACGTCATGTGTCTATGAAACTAAAAGTACGGGAAAGGTGCCAATGAACCTGAAGTGGTCAGATCTTATCAATATCATATTCATGAACATCTTCAGGGGAAGTTATAGGTTTCATTATGAACGAAAGGACTGAAATATTTATTGCAACATATGAATTGGTGTCATCAAGGTTGGTCTGGGTGTGTATTAATCCGCAAGTTGGCGATAGTTTCATGTTTATGCTCCAGCGAACATGATAATGAAAGAATCAGTGATACGTTTTGATAAAAATTGTGCAACCTTATGAATGTGATCCAAAGAGGGGGGAAACATATTTCTAGGTGACAAAAATGCAATGAGGGAAACACAATAAAAGTAAAGAGAAAAAAAAAATTATTGGACTGTTTGGAGACCAAAGAATTAATGAGAATGCTGACTGCTTAGAGAAAAAAAATCTGCTTGTTTTGAATTAATGGGGCAAGCATTAATCTATTTGCAAGTACCTGTGGGAAAGGAATGAATGAAGGTGGGAAATATGGAGATTGCTATGGATGTATATAGTTAATTACTCTGTTTATGAATGTATAAACTATTTAGTGATGTTAAGCAATATGCAAAAGCAACATAACCAAATGAAAGTACTAGTCATTTCATCAAGTGTGACATTATTCATGCTATATATTCATGCTATTTATAAGGCAGGAGAGTGCAGCTCATCTGTTGCAGCTGTCACATGAATTATGCAGATATATAATATTGCAAATAATGCAAACTCGACATGGCCAAGCTGCAACAGCCAACTCGCCATGGGACAATTTACCAATTCTGTTTCATGATTTCAAACACATACAAATTATTTTAATATTCGCCATTCCCGTTTCATTCTGCCCTCTCCTTTTTCCCCCTTTCTTTAATGATTCCATCCCACCAATTATTTGATATTAATGTCACTCTTGTCCTACAGCAAGTTGGCCGTGGCGAATTGTCATAGACCCCCCACCACCCCCAAAACTCAGCCACTTAATACTTGTGGACTTCAACTCCCACAATTCCCCAGCCAGCCGCGTCTTAAAGCCAAGCCACTTTGCTGCTTGGGGAATTCTGGGAGTTGAAGTCCTTCAGGCTTAAAGTGGCCAAGGTTGGAGACCCCTCCTCCAAAAAGTTTCCATAGAGTTTCAGGGTCGCCTCTTTTTTTTTTAAGTTTTTTTTATTTTTTAAAACATAAACATAAAACACATCTTTTCCAAAACAAAGCATTGATCCGGTCACAAAATAATACAAATCATTAACAGATCTTATTTTTCAGTTAACACAACTTAATACTTTACTCAGTTATTTCCCTAAATTCTATCAATTTAACTCTGCCATTGTCCTAAAAACACCATTACTTAAATCCTAACCAAATATCATTCCATTTTTCTCTTTCTTTTTGCTTAGATGGATATATTTTAACAATATAAATCATTACAGTTATTGTAAGCATTTAAAAAATATTTTAACTATTGCTCCCAATATAATCAACTTCATTACTTTACTATTAATCGCCTCTTGTAAAGGCAACTTTCTTTCCAATTGCTTGGGGCGCGGTGTCCAGAAACTTTCCTCTGTTCCACTCCCGCGGTCAAAAACCCCCGCCCCATCCTCCCCAATTCCATTGCCCCTTTGTGTCCCCTTGGCGCTGCTGGCAAAGAAGTGGGCAAATGCCACCCCGGCTGCAAGGCCGTCTTAACAGTATTATGGGCCCCTGGGGCAAAACAGTGTACTGGGGCCCCTTAAGCCAACTACTCAACAGGAATAAAAATGTAAACGGTCGATAAAATCAAACGTATATTTGCACGTTAGTATAAATTTTTTAAAAATGCAGTCAAATGTAATAAATGCGTTGCTGCGTTGATATGATGCAAGGTGCATTGAAGGGTGAACATACACAGAGTAGTAGAGTGGTTGTTAACATGATTTTAGAGTTAATATGATTTATTGGGTTTATTGGGCCAGTACGCTCCCACAGAGAGGGACTCCTCAGGGTGCCGTCGGTCAAACAATGTCGACTGGCGACCCCCAGGGGGAGAGCCTTCTCTGTGGGGGCACCAGCCCTCTGGAATGAATTGCCCCCGGAGATACAGATGATCCCTGACCTATGCACCTTTCGCCGTGCCCTCAAGACGTTACTGTTTCAGCAAGCTGGGCTGGCCTAAATATTAATTTTTTTGATGGGTTGTTTTTATTTTATTTTTTAATGATTCGGGGCCAAATTATTTAATATGTTTTAAAAAAAAATTAAAATTTTATATACGTGTCATTTTATTTTTGGGCTGTACACCGCCCTGAATCCTTCGGGAGAAGGGCGGTATAAAAATTAGGTTAAAGAGCCTGGATAGCTCAACAGACAGAGCTCTGTAATTTAACACCAGCTGTCTGCAATTAAAGTAAGTTCGAATCTCGCCAGGCTCAAGGTTGACTCAGCCTTCCATCCTTTCTAAGGTAGGTAAATTGAGGACCCAGTTTGTGGGGGGCAATAAGCTGACTTTGTATAAAAATATAAAAAAGTATGAAGGCTATTGCTTAACGCATTGTAAGCCGCCCTGAGTCTCTGGAGAAGGGCGGCATATAAATCAAATTAAATGAATGAATGAATGAATGAATGAATGTATTTATTTGTTTTTATTTATTTGTTTTAATTTGTATACCGCCCTTCTCCAACAGGACTCAGGGCGGTGAACAGCCAGAATAAAACAGAACATACAAAATTTAACGAACTAACTAACTAACTAACTAACTAACTAACTAACTAACTAACTAACTAACTAACTAACTAACTAAATAAATAAATAAATAAATAAATAAATTTGGTTAGGGATTTTCTGTCTTCAGTGTAAATTGTATTGTGTGATGGGGAGGGGGCTGCCCTGAGGAAGCTCCACCAATCTCATTATACATATGTTGTGCACTGACAATAAAGATTTAAATTTGAGTATTAAATTTGATGGGCAAGTGCCCATCAACCCCATGAGGGAAGACAGCCGTGCCCGCCAGAATTCCCCACTGAGTCACCCTCAGCGGAGGAAAAGTCAGCCTCGCCGCTCTCCGAAAGCAGCGCCCCCCCCTCCCCACACACACCCCGCTTATCCCGGGAGAGGCGGGGCCTCGTTCTCGTCACCCAGTTGGAATGCGTGACCGGCCGCAGCGGCCCAATCAGCGCCCAAGTCGAGGCTGATATATGGGCTCTGCGGCGCTGGCAGCAAGACAGGCAGCGATCCGATTGGTGAAGCGGCGGCGGCGGCGGCTGGACAGCGCCCGTGAACCAGCTGCAGCTTTGAGTTTTGTGCCGAACCGGGAGAAGCTGGTAAGTGCCGGGCTTTCGCTTGGGGCGTGTGTGGGAGGGGGAGCTGTACGAGGCTCGCCCGCCCGCCGTGTGGGAATGAAGGGCTCGGAGCGGCTGCCCTCCCAGCGCTTTTTCCCGGGGAGAAACCGGCCACAGGCAGCCCGAAGCCTCTGGCGGTTGGGGCTTAAACTCTTCCCGGGGAGCGACCTCGCTTCTTGCAAACCTGCCGCGACGTGGATGGAGGGGAAGAGGCGCCCGCGCGCGTTCCTGCTTGCAGAAGGAAGCCCCCTAAGTGCCTCCTAAATTTGCAGTTTTAATTTAATTTAATTTAATTAATTAAATTTATATGCCGCCCCTCTCCCAAGACTCAGGGCGGCTCACAATACATTTAAAAAAAATCATCATGAAAAATTAAAAAACATTAAAAGTTTAAGTTTCTCTCCCCCGCCGCCGAAGGGACAGGGAAGCGCGTTGCATTTGCAGAGCCGTTTTGCATCGGGAGTTGGGACCCCCATCCCATCCCCATCCCCATCCCCACCAGGGGGGCAGGAGGAATAACAATAGCACGTAGCCTTACATACCGCTTTAAAGTGCTTTTACAGCATTCGCAAGTCAACCTTGAGCTGGGTAGGATTGAAGTCCAAAAAATGGGCAGAATCCGCCTGCAATATTGCATTCTAAGCATTGTGCCAGGAAGGAAAGAAGGAAAGGAAGGAAGGGAGGGAGGGAGGAAGGAAGGAAGGAAGAGAGGGAGGAAGGAAGGGAGGAAGGAAAGAAGGAAAGGAAGGAAGGAAGGAGGAAGGGAGGAAGGAAAGAAGGAAAGGAAGGAAGGAGGAAGGAAGAAAGGAAGGGAGGAAGGAAAGAAGGAAAGGAAGGGAGGGAGGAAGGGAGGAAGGAAGGAAGGGCAATAGCAATAACATTGATATATACCACTTCAAAGTGCTTTTACAGCATTCTCTAAGAAGTTTACAGAGGTTTATTGCCCCCAACAATCTGGGTCCTCATTTTACCCACCTCGGAAGGATGGAAGGCTGAGTCAACCTTGAGCTGGTTAGGATTGAAGTCCAGAAAGTGGACAGAATCAGCCTGCAATATTGCATTCTAAGCATTGTGCAAGGGAGGGAGGGAGGGAGGGAGGGAGGGAGGGAGGGAGGAAGGAAGGGCAATAGCAATAATACTTATATATACCACTTTAAAGTGCTTTTACAGCATTCTCTAAGAGGTTTACAGAGGTTTATTGCCCCCAACAATCTGGGTCCTCATTTTACCCACCTCGGAAGGATGGAAGGCTGAGTCAACCTTGAGCCGGTTAGGGTTGAAGTCCAGAAAGTGGACAGAATCAGTCTGCAGTATTGCATTCTAAGCATTGTGCCACGAAGGAAGGGAGGGAGGGAGGGAGGGAGGGAAAGGAAGAGCAATAGCAATAGCACTTAAACTTATATACCGCTTCAAAGTACAGCATACTCTAACCGGTTTGCAGAATCAGTCTATTGCCCCCAACAATCCGGGTCCTCATTTTACCCACCTTGGAAGGATGGAAGGCTGAGTCAATAGCAACAGCATTTAAGACTTATATACCACTTCTTAATGCTTTTACAGCCCTCTCTAAGCGGTTTACAGTGTCAGCATCTTGGCCCCCAATAATCCCTGCACTTCAGAATCCCTTTGGAGTTTGGTGAAGCTGCCGCTCCATTTCTCCTAACGTCCGCCAAATTTCCTCTCCCCCACTGTCCCCACCCCCACCCCATGTGCTCTTGCATGCCGGTTTCTCTCCAGACAAGGCCATTGTCTTTGTTTGCACTTGTGCTCCCCCCCACCCCCAATCGCGGGCATTCTTCTCCACATCTCTGCCAACCCTTGCATGTTAACCTGTGCAGGGAAGTCGCTGGATTTCCTTGCTTGCTTGTTTGGCCAGTGTCATCCTGGCGCCAAGGAACCCCCTAGATTCTCCCCTTGAATCTTATTATCTTTGCAGCCCATCTGGACCGTTGCAGCCCTTCATGCAGCCGCCTCTTTGTGGCTTAGAGAAATCCTTTAAGTGCGCTTTTTTCACCTGTCCAACCTGCAGCCGTTTTGCACCAGATGCAGGGAAACCTGAAAAACGCCTCTGAAGGAGAGAGACTCCCTCGCTGCAGAGAATCCCAGCCTGCCTGGGAAGTCAGCAGACACAGGATTTCCAAAATTGCCCCGGGGACAAACCGCCTCCCAAGCGCCTGAGAAATTAAAAAATAAGGGCGATCCGGGAGTTAGGGACTTGCCACTACAAGTCCTTCTCTGAGCTGGCTGCCTGCCTAAAGCACCCTTTTAATCTATCTATTAATCTATAAATTTAATCTGCTTGCATGCATACAAAGGAATAGAGATATAGCGCTATTGGTCAACTGGTCCTTTTTGGCCAAGGGCAAGTCCTTGGTGGAGTTGGTCACAACCGCACCACACAAGGTCTAGCAAGGGCTGAGAGGGAAGTCTTTAGGAATTGCACGGATTCAATAGCAACATGAGTTAAGAGTTTGGCTGGAGAAGGTAAAAAAGATGTGATCTAATTAGGATCTTGATGTCATTAGAAAGACTGTAGAGCAGGGGTCTCCAACCTTGGCAATTTTAAGACTTGTGGACTTCTACTTCCAGCTGGCTGAGGAACTCTGGGAGTGGAAGTCCACAAGTCTTAAAGTTGCCAAGGTTGGAGACCCCATATTGTAGAGTATTTGAAGCTTGGGGATGCATAGATAAATCCCATTAATGGGGGATGGATGGGTTGATCTCAGATTTGCAGAATCATAAGATCCCCCAATAGTGATGGGACAGGCCATACATGGCACTCCAGAGGCTGGTATACTAAGACTCCCAGCAACCTCGAGCTGCACTCGAGCATCATATGTAGACCATGTCCTGGGCAGGTGAAAATAATTTAGGCAAGTAAGACATCTTCTAAGGCTGAAGAGCGAGGTACCTTGGAAGCCCACGCTCTGCCAAATTCTCCTGATCTTCATCTTTCGGCAGCTTAAAAAGTTATTACTAATTATTACTACTACAGCGGTTGAAACCGCTTATTAACCTCTTGTAAATCATTCGGAGATCTGCAAACAGATTATATTCTTCTTCCTGATATCCTGAGTCAGAATGGATAAAGCAACAGGCACATCTGTTCTTGCCAGAATAGCACAATTTGATCCGATGTGTCTTGGAATTCTTTTTCTTAAAAGCTCCCTGCTGCAGTGAGGCTGAAGTAAGACTTCTAGATTGCTACAGTTGCTACATTTGCTTACTCAGAAGTAAAGTTCTGTGGGCTTTACCTTCAAGCGACTACGCAGAAAATTGGAGCCTTAAACTGCAGCTCCACACTATTTACTGGGGTTTACTTCTGAGTAAATAGGCTTAGGATTCTGTCTGCGGGATTTCTTAAAACATCTGAATGATTAAAACCCACTATGAGAATGAAACAGCAGAGCTTCCATTGACACTGACTAGGTAAATTAAGTTAATTAATTAAGTTAATTAACGGACTAGGTTAATTAGTCATTAAACCTGACTAGGTGGCTCAGTGGCTAAAACACTGAGCTTGTCGATTAGAAAGGTTGGCAGTTTGGCGGTTCAATTCCTTGTGTGATTGGTCTTCGTGAGCAGGGGGTTGGACTAGATGACCTCCAAGGTTCTTCTGTTACTGTTAATTAATTATTATACAATGTGGGAATAAGCTAGCAAAAACAACAGCAAGCTGGCTTATAAGAGTCAGCAGTTTCTTCACATACAGTTTGTTCCCTATTTTCTTGTTGAAGTAATTTTGCAAATGTATGAAACAACCTGAAATGAGTGGTTTGAAACGGGTAATTAAGTTCAACAATCTTTTATCCTGTTTCCTTTTCACTTTTCCACAAGAGAACTTCCTGAATCAGGAAAGTGGTGGTTTCTCGCCTAATTTAGCAACAAAACGGGTTTCCTAACACCTAATGGAAATGGTACTTTGGACTCTACATGCTGGGAGATGAAATAGCCACAGGAGTTGTAAAGATCAGATCATCACTTGGGGGAGTCTTAGTATCAATGGAGCAAGAATCTGTAATTCTGTTCATGCGCACATTCTTACTTCGAAACGTTTGCACTGCAAAAGCTTTATAAATATACTGTCCAATTTCTAAAAAAACCCAGTCTTTAATATACAGGAAAAATATGGATTTCAAGATTTATGGGAGAAAAAAAAATATATTGCCCCTCAAACCTGTTATTTTTATTACTTATAAATATCCAGTTAACACATTGTAGTATTTTGTGATTGCGGATATTATTAACTTTGGTAATATGCAGATCTTTCCCCCGTTGTCATATTGGTATAAACAGATTTTGCAGGTTTTTAAAAACCTTCAGAAATTTGCAAAAAATTGTGGATCAGGAGTAGCTAGTGAATTGATTACGGGATTATTTTACTATCGCTGCACAATGAATTTGCTACATTTTGCGTTGTAGAGAGATTAAAATCTGAAAAAAAATATTAAATCATGCAAAGATGTTGTTCAATATTCTTGCAGGATATTGATGAAGCAAGAGTAAGACTTATATGTTATGAATATCCCTAGCGGGGAAAAAAACATGTGAGATTGTATAATTGTTTCTAGTTCCTCCTGAACAAACAGGTTTCTTATATGGATCTTAGAATTTCTTCCTTACAGTATAATAATGCTGAGAGTAAAATTTATCTAGAGCAAACTTTCCCTAACTTTAGGAATATAAGTAAGGATAGTTGGCACCTTCCCAAATCCCTTTTGCCCACCAGCCCTGCTTCCAGGATGTGGAGCTGTTTATTATTGTCTGGAAGATTTTATTTAATATTTGCAGAACTGCTGTGTTTGGCACAACCATCCAACAGCAAGGACCATCTCAACTTTGTTGATAGCCCACATGTCATTAGATTTTGTACTATGCCCTTGTTTCATTTTGATGGAAAATTGTCAGCCATTAAAGCCTTAGTAAGACCACACCTAGAATACTGCATTTTTGGTCACCACATTATAAAAAAGATGTTGAGACTCTGGAAAGAATGCAGAGAAAAGCAACCAAGATGATGAGGGGACTGGAGGCTAAAACATACGATGAACGGTTGCAGGAACTGGGCATGGCTAGTCTAGTGAAGAGAAGGACCAGGGGAGACATGATAGCCATCTTCCAATATTTGAGGGGCAGCCACAGAGAGAAGGGGGTCAAGCTATTTTCCAAAGCACCTGAAGGTCAGACAAGGAATAATGGATGGAAACTGACCAAGGAGAGATTCAACCTGGGAAATTTTCTGACAGTGAGCGCAATCAACCAATGGAACAGAAGTTGTGGGAGCTTCATCATTGGAGGCTTTCAAGAAGAGACTGGACTACCATCTGTCAGAAATGGTGCAGGGTCTCCTACTTAGGCGGGGAGTTGGACTAGATGACCTACAAGGTCCCTTCCATCTCTGTTAATCTGTAAATTATTAACTGGAAGTAGATCTGAGGGATAAAACTGGAGCTTCAATTAGTAGTTTGGCATCAACTTCCTTGCCCTAACATAGAGAGTGGACAAGGTATGTTTTTAAAAAGTCAGGTTAGTGGTCACAATGGGATGACTGAGGCTCGAAATGGACCATCATTTGGGCTTTTTAGACAAATCTTGTCTATTTCTAGGCATCCCTCAGTCTAAGCTTAGACTATCAGCTGCCACTCTTGGTTTAGCAGGAAATGTGATTGGAACCACATGTTCCCAATACAGAGATCTAATTGAGTACCATACAATATTTAGGGCAATATTTGGGTTAGGGTTAGGAGAGTTTTAAAGAAACGGAAGGCAACGGGTACAAGATCTTCCATATTGTAGCTCAGTTTACTTGCTGTCCACGTTGATGTGAGCCAATAGTTTGTTTTATTTTACTGTTTTTAGCAGGATTTTTGTTTATCCTTTGGGCCTTTGGATATATAGTTTGTGTGTTTGGTTATAAGGTATGTTTGGTTTAGATTACATCTTGGGGGAATGAGGCTCAGTGGTGCAGTGGTTAGAATAGAATAGAATAGAATAGAATAGAATAGAATAGAATAGAATAACAGAGTTGGAAGGGACCTTGGAGGTCTTCTAGTCCAACCCCCTGCTTAGGCAGGAAAACCTACACCACTTCAGACAAATGGTTATCCAACATCTTCTTAAAAACTTCCAGTGTTGGAGAATTCACAGCTTCTGGAGGGAAGTTGTTCCACTGATTAATTGTTCTGTCAGGAAATTTCTCCTTAGTTCTAGGTTGCTTCTGTCCTTGATTAGTTTCCACCCATTGCTTCTTGTCCTACCTTCAGGTGCTTTGGAGAATAGCTTGACTCCCTCTTCTTTGTGGCAGCCCTTGAGATATTGGAAGACTGCTTTCATGTCTCCCCTAGTCCTTCTTTTCATCAAACTAGACATACTCCGTTCCTGCAACCGTTCATCGTATGTTTTAGCCTCCAGTCCCCTAATCCTCTTGATTGCTCTTCTCTGCACTCTTTCTAGAGTCTCAACATCTTTTTTACATTGTGGCAACCAAAATTGAATGCAGGGAAACACAATCGGTGGTTTTAGGAGAGTGCAATACTGCAGGCTACTTCTGCTGCCTGCCGGCTGCCTGCAATTTAGCAGTTCAAATCTCACCAGGCTCAAGGTTGACTCAGCCTTCCATCCTTCCGAGGTCGATAAAATAAGGACCCAGGTTATTGGGGGCAAGAGGCTGATTCTGTAAACCGCTTAGAGGGGGCTGTAAAGCACTGTAAAGCGGTATATAAGTCTAAGTGCTATTGCTATCTTGCTTTTTGTTCGGGTGTCCAGTGAGAGAGCAGTGAAAACACAAGATTCAGTTGGTATCAGTGAGGAAATTTCATAAATATTATGTTGGTATGCTTCCCTTAATGACACTAATTCCTATCCACTCTCTAATTCACATTGAAGTTCAAAATGGGTAAAGAGAAAAGCTGTTATGAGTCAACCACTCCACCGGTTCCCAAAACTGGGAATGGAGACAAAAGGGTTTAGCCAAGGGGTTGCCCCAAATTACAAATTTATTCTTTTCTCTTTTTTTCAGAGTCGAGCAAAAAGAAGAAGCAAAGTCACTGAAAATAGGAACCTGTTGCCTAACGAGATGAATCCACTAGTCGTCCTCTTTGTCATGCTCAGCGCATTCATCGCAGAGATGGCAGCTTCGGTACGTTGTGCAACCCTCTGGGGGTACTACTGACCATGGCTGGGACTTACTTCCATTTTTGGACATAAATATGAAGCTGGCGCTCCTACTCATGATCCAAACTTATTTTTAGCCTTTTTTTTCTTCCCTTCCTTGTGGCTTTTCACTTGTAAACGTGGACAAAGTTTTGTCTGGGTGATGCGTTAGTGAGTTGGCACTTGTAACTGAGCTAACCATGTTATAGGTTTATTCTAAAGCAGTAAGTGACTTCAACATTGTGGTCCCTGCCCAGGGTTGGGCTTCAAAAGTTTTAGCAAGAGATTCTCTGCCCGGTTGCTGCGTGGGGGTGGCCATGGTGGGCATGGCCTAGTCAGCCTCCTGCACTACGGCGGGGGGGGGGGTGTTTTTGCCCTCCCCGGGCTCCAGAGGCTTTTCTTGAGCCTCCAGGAGGACAAAAAGAGCCTCCCCAGGCTCTGTAGGCCCTCTGGAGGACAGAAACAGGCCCATTTCCAGCCTTTCCAAACTTCCAGTTGGCCCGTTTTTCACCCTCCGCAAGCCTCCACACATGCCTTGCACTTACCTGCATCCAAAGCGGGCTGCATGGGGACTCCTGGAAGAGGCGGGATGGGATGGGCGGGGCCAGACAGGAGTGGGATTTGTGGGTTCTCCGAACTGCACAGAATTTTAGCTAGAACTTCTCCCAAACCCCTGCAAACCCCTGGCAGCCTACCCCCTCCTGGTCCTGTGTTACTCCTTCTCTTTATGTACTCCACATTTTTTTCCCAAATACTGGACTGTTTTCTAGGCTTTTGATTCTTCTGGCCTTCCTTTCTTAGGCCTATGACCTGCTCTTTGTAGAGCAGTTTAGAGAACATCTTGCTGCTAACATCGGGGTTATCCGCAGCAGGTGGTAAAAAATATTCAAGTCAGTTGCTGTGATGGTTTGATTGAAGTTCTTCCCATACATCAAAACAAGCTGAGCTTTAATTATATCTTTTTAGTTGCCATATTTCCTTTTTTAAAAAAAAAAAAACATATCCCTGGGACACCCCTGAAGGTAGCTCATCTAATCACTCTAAGGATATAGGACACATTTTTAGATAATAAAATGAAAGCAATAACAAGATAAAACGTGGAATAACGGAACAATGATAGATTGCAATCTAAGGCAAATGTGTATTATTTACTAGAAATATATAAGTTTGATTGAACGTAACAATTATGATTAACTTCGATAGTGTTATTTGTATTAGAATGTATGACACCCAGATATCACACTGTTCAAGCATTGATATGATACATTTATTAAAAATAAAAAACGCCCGGTTTAGGGAAGGGGGAAAAAGTCATGGTACATGACGCCATGTGTTTGACACCCCGATATAGGAGAAATCTCTAGGTCCCAGGCGGAGGGGGGCAATTAATATCCCCAAGGGACGACATGAAAAACTGGAACTGTTGTGGAGGATTGAAGCAACAGTGCTGGGAAAATGCATGCATGGACATACATAAATTGAAAAAAAAATAACAGTTGCCTTCAAAATAAAGGCAATTCCCATGGGCTGGACAGGGAGATCCAGAAGTGGCCTGGGGACTGTAAAATGCCCAGCTTTGCTCTACATGTGTTCACAAAATTATTATAGTAATTGGACATCACTGCAGATGCCTTTGTGAATGCTGCCTACCGTTTTCTGCTGTGTCTTTCTTTAAAAAAATCATCTAGATGTTTTGGAACCCATAGCTTTCCTTTCGAGCGGAGAACTGTCCCAGCTTTTTGTAAGGAGCTACATTTAATCAAATCAATTTTAATTTATTACATGTCTTAAATACAGCTTAATTTGATTTCTCCATCAGTAGGCAGTCTTTTTTTCCCCCCTTTTACATTAATAATGCAGTTGGGGAAATCAGTGTTTGGAGGGGCATGTATGCTAACATCTTCCAGTAACTCTTCCTGAATTATTCTCACTGGAGAAAATAAATGGGATCCAGAGTTTTCATGAGGAAAAACAGGAAAAGTCCTGTTTTGTAGCTGGATCAAATAAGAAAATAGTTGTTAATATGTTAATCCATGGGTGTGTGTGTATTTATAGATGTTCTTATGTTTTAGACTTACCATTGGCAGAAACAACAGAAGCTGCCAAGGAAAATTAGGCATGACAACAAAGGTAATCATAAATTTTTCTCCTTTTTGTTAACCTTTAAAGACTTTAAAGTCTTTAAAACCTTTAAAGACAGTTTGGTCAAGTAGCAAATTACAAATTGCCGCCACCTGTTTTGGTCCTTAACCTCTAAGAAGCAGCAATTTTCACGGGGTCGGGGGGCGGGGAGAGAGCAGCTGGGTCCACTAAATCAGAGGTGTCAAACTCAATTTCATTGAGGGCCACATCAGGGTTGTGTTTGACTTTGGGTGTGTGTGGCTGGGGTGGATGTGGCCAACTCGATGTCCTGCAGCCCACGCAAGGCCCTCCCGAGCTCTGTTTTCGCTGGCAGAGGGCTGCAGGAGGCCATTGCAGCCAAAAACAGAGCTCAGGAGGGCTTCACGCAGCCCTCCCGAGCTCCATTTTCACTGACAGAGGCACCATAGGCCAGTCCTTTGCTGTTTCCAGCGTGGCCCCATGGGGCAGATCCAGTGGTGGGTTCCTCCCGGTTTGGCTGAGCCGGTAGTGGTGACGATATGACATCACCAAACCGGTTCTCTTTGTTCGGGAGCTGGGCTCTCCCGCCCCCCACATTATTCTTACCTTTTATTTGGCCCCGCCCCCAATCTATTTGCTGCCTCCTGAGTCCCAGCTGATCGGCTAGAAGGAAAAAAACTGTGTAACTCTTACCGCGGGCTTCAAAGGGCCGCCTTACAGCTGATCAGTATGATGGTAGATTGGTGCTTCCAAAAACAAATGAGTAGTCCGGTGCCTCTAAAAACAAATGAGTAGACCGGTGCCTCCAAAAACAAATGGGTAGACCGGAACACCCCAAGAACAAATGGGTAAACTGGTACAGCTCTGCAAGCAGTTAAAAGCCTGGTAGACCAGTACCTCTGCTAAATCCTAAAGAATTGTCACATGACCATCAAACCATGCCCACAAAATAAGCCACGCCCACAGAACCAGTAGTAAAAAATTTTAGAACCCACCCCTGGGCAGATCCAAGCACCCCACGGACCAGATCCAGCCTGAGGGCCTTGAGTTGGACACCCCTGCACTAAATTCATAGTGTACATAACACATACTACATATTTATGTTTTAATAAAATGTATATTTTTCCCCCAAAATATCTGATTAACAGGTTGTGGCTGTTTGAATGGGGGAACGTGCTTGACGTATCGTCTGTTTTCTCGAATTAAGTCCTGCGTGTGTCCTGAAGGGTATATTGGAGATCACTGTGAGATAGGTACTTCGCAATTTATTTATTTTTTTTCATTTCTTCAGTTGGGAAACTGGTTGGGTAAGATAAACTGGCATTCCGATACACATCTTTGTACTCTCCCACAGCCCTGCTTCAACCTCCTTTGTTGTTGCAACAGCCTCTTGTGGCCGGAGGAGGCTGTTACAATGACCTAAACTGAGGAAATTGAAGCTTCCTTCTGTGGTTTCCGAAATCAGCACTCCTCTCTCAGTCATGACTCAAGAGTTGACTCTTTCCTTTCCTCCAGATGTTGAAACCAGATGTTACACCGGGGATGGCACCGACTACAGAGGGACTGAGTCAGAGAATGAGAATGGAGAAACGTGTCTGCCTTGGGACTCCCACTATCTCAAGAGGTGGCCCTACAATGCACACATGGAAAATGCTCTGGAGCTTGGCTTAGGCAGACACAACCATTGCAGGTAATAATTTTAAGTATATATAATCTATTGCCCTTTCCAACCAGGGTTGTGTTTCCCGCCTTCTCATCTATACATTTGGATGGGGCCTTCTGAGGTTTGGCACGAATAAAAGCAATGATGCAGATTCTGCAACTCTGGTGCCAGACGACATATTTGTCTCAAACTTTTGAAGAACTCATTTTTTCCCCCTTCTTTGACATAGTCTCTTAAGGTGGCCAGGTGCAAGGCTAACTTTGTTTCTATCAGCTAAATGAAAGACTGTTTGGCTGCGGCAACATGCCATCAATCAAAAGTTATTTTTCAGAAGGTTCAGGATTCGTCGTCTTTTGTCAAATGATTATATTTATTTTATTTTATTTTTATTATTCACATTTCTATGCCGCCCACTCTCCGAGGACTCTGGGCGGCTTACACCAAAGACAGTATACTAAATAGCGTATTGCCCCCTAACAATCTGGGTCCTCATTTTACCCACCTTGGAAGGATGGAAGGCTGAGTCAACCTTGAGCCTGGTGAGATTTGATCCGCTGATCTGCTGAACTAGCAGTCAGCTGAAGTAGCTGCAGTACTGCACTCTAACCACTGCACCACCTCGGCTCTTCTTTATGAAGTTCTTGCAGGGTTAATGCTGCAAGGAACCTTTAATACTGATCTTAGAGATCATTTTTGATCTTTTAGAGTGTTAATCCTTACGAAGATGTTTTATGGTTTTCTAGGAATCCTGATGGCAGTTCTAAGCCATGGTGTTTTGTTCGGAAGGGATATCGTACTTCTGTGACACCTTGTGACATACCCACATGTCAAAACGGTAAGTTGTTATATAGATAATGATGAGACCCAAAATTGGAGACTGAAGAGGTGTTAATTACATTCACGTGAAGTCAGCTTGCCATGTCATATTTGAAATCTGCAGTTCTTGAAACTTGGCCCAAGAGTGGGCTAAGAGGAACAAGAGGCTCCTTAATAGGGGAAGGTATATGGTGTTGCATGAGCCTTCTGCGCATGTGCAGAGGTTCAAAAATGGGATGTAACGATGTCCCGGTGGGTGGGCAAAGCCTCCCGCCGCCAGCCCTACTGGTTCACGCGAGCCGGATAGATCTGGCCGGATTTCACCATTGATGTAGGGAGGGAAAACGGGGACCACAGATAGAAGATAGCAGATTTATGATTTGGAAACTTTACATCACAAAAGGATGTGATGAGGTCACAGACACAAAGCGGAGCCCGAGAGCCTCAGCTGCTAGAAGGGCTAATGCAGTTCTAGGTTGCATTAGAAAAAGCACTGCAACCAAAATGTAGAACATCTATTTCCTTCTACTTTGCACTGATCAGACTATTGTGACACCTGTACTATTGTGTAATAATTTTGGATGCAATATTTTGCAGAAGAATATGCTAGATTAGAACAGGTTCAGAAGAGTGTGCTGTCAGAGTTCCGACCGATGCCCTAATTAAATCATGAGCCTCGAACCAAATTTCCAAAGAAATCCAGTTATTTATTAGGAGCTTCATGTCGGCAAGTTCCAAGTAAAGCCAACTCTGACCTCACTTAATTCACGCCCCGGCTCTGACCCTATTTCTCCCCTCCCCCCAAGGTGTGTCATCAGTCACCCCAACGAAGCAATTTTGCGGGTTGTAGAAGTCCCTCCCTCCGGCCACTGTGGGTTTCCATGGAGATGGCCTTGACATAGTGATGGCTGGAATGTGCTTTTGTTTTGACTGAAGTGCAATTCCCTCGCTGCAGCTTCGATGCTCAGTTCCCCATCTCCTGCCTATGGCAACTCGAGAGCAGGTCAGGAATGCTTCGCAAGTTGACATGTGACAAATATGGTATGGGAGCTGGATGACATGCCACACATGAGGGCAGGCAGAAGAAACTTAGGCTAGTCGGTTTGGAAAAAAGATAAATAAGGAAAAGATGAGAGATCCAACCTAGAACTAAGAAGAGACTTCTTAACAGCGAGAACAATCAACCAGTGGAACTGCTGGCCTCCAGAAGTTGTGGGTGCTCCATCACTGGAGGCTTTCAAGAAGAGAGTGGACAGTCATTTGTCTGAAATGGTATAGGATCTCCTGCTTGAGGAGAGGTTTGGACTAGAAGACTTCCAAAGTCCCTTCCAACCCTATTATTCTATGTTCTACGATGTCTAGCACTTAATAAAAGTGTACTAGGAAAGTCAGGAGTTATTTTCCGTAGCACAAAAATAGGACCATCAATAATGGTTATAAATTTCAGCTACGTAGAGTTTGAAAAAATTTGTACAACAGTGAAACAATGTAGGTTGCAGGTTCCCCATCACCAGAGTTTTTTAAAGGAAAACCTGGAGACTCACCCAAGAATGGTTTAATTGGTTTTCCAGCAGATTGAAGAAAGTAGGACTAGATTACAGTATCATCCTGATTGCTTCTACAATTCTACAGGTTTTTTTTTTTTTAATTTGATTTATATGCCGCCCTTCTCCGGAGTCTCAGGGCGGCTTACAAGGCATTAAGCAATAGCCTTCATACTTTTGTATATTTATACAAAGTCAACTTATTGCCCCCACAAACTGGGTCCTCATTTCCCCTACCTTAGAAAGGATGGAAGGCTGAGTCAATCTTGAGCCTTGGAGAGATTCGAACCAGCAGTAATTGCAGGCAGCTGTGTTAATAACAGGGTGCTTAGACCACTGTACTATCAAGGCTCTTACCTTACCTCTTACCTCAGTTCCATGATTCAGTAGAAAAACAGCATGTTACAAAAAATGTCTGAGGAAAAATGCATATATTTATGAAAGTAATGCATTTAAAATGCATTATATTAAGAACTTTTATTTGTATATTATATTTAGTGGGTAAAAATGTAATAAAAATGTACACATTTAGAAAAATGCAGAGAAAAAGCAATAGGTTGCAATGTAAACTTTTAAATATTATTAAATTTGGTGAATCCAATTTGACATATTCACGAAAACAGCCGAGTATGTGAGAAACGAAGTCAAAAAAAAAAAAGGATAAACGTGTCCCACTTAAAATTAAAGTGCGTTATATTACTCAAAATAAAATTTTATTTTGAGAACCAGAAGTCCTGTTTGGCAATTGCTTTTTTAAAACGTTTTTAAGATGTTCTATTGTAGTGCAGAGGTGGTGGATGTCTCAGGGCAGTCCATTTTTAAGTGGTTTTACAGGAGCTTAAAAGTGTTCCCAGAGTGAGAGGGAGATTTTCTTCATAGCTTATCCATTGTCCAGAGAGTTTCTCTTTGCCAAGCCCCTTTTAGCCCTTTTTAACCCAATTTGCAAATCTGGACAACGGGAACTACCTAGATTTATCTAGAACAGGGGTGTCAAACTCAATTTCATTGAGGGCTGCGTCAGGGTTGTGTTTGACCTTGGGGTGGGGGGGGGCAAGGTTGGCATGGCGAGGGTGGGTGTGGCCCAGTAGTGGGTTTCAAATTTTTTTACTACAGGTTCTGTGGGTGTGTATTAATGGGCATGGCATGGCTTGGTGGGCGTGGCTTGGTGGGTGTGGCAGGGGAAGGATACTGTAAAATCTCCATTCCCTCCCCAATCCAGGGGAAGGTTACTGCAAAATCCCCGTTTCCTCCCGATCAGCTGGGACTTGTGAGGCAGAGAATAGATGGGGGTGGGGCCAGTCAGAATTTTTACTACCGAACTACTCAAAATTTTTGCTACCGGTTCTCCAGAACTGGTCAGAACCTACTGAAACCCACCTCTGGTGTGGCCAGTTTGACGTCACTCATGTCGGGGGCGTCTGTGGTAGCCTGAGCAGTTTGCCAGAGAAAACGGGCTCCCAAGCTCCATTTTCGGCTGCAATGGCTTCCTGCAACCCTCTGCCTATTAAAATGGAGCTCGGGAGGGCTGTGGGAGGCCATCCCGAGCTCCATTTCCATGGGTAGAGGCACAACGGGCCGGTCCTTTGCTTCTTTCCAGAGCAGACCCGTGAGCCAGATCTAAGCACCCCACAGGCTGGATCCAGCCTTGAGTTTGACACCCCTAAACTAGAAGAGAGGTTGCAAATAATGGACCTTCAGGTGATTTTCACCTGGAGCTCCTGCAACCTCAACAAGGGGAGCTGGAAGAATTCCAGTTCTGAAGCAGCTGGACGGGCACCGATGTCCCCATAATTGAGCTCTTTGGTGCTCAAGTTTGGTTGGCTGAGAATCTGCTTTAGTAAAAAGGAGCCATTTTAGAGGAGATTTCCCATGACAGAGAATCTAGTGTTTTGTGTGTGATGCGATGAGGGCAGAAGGCTTGCCTGTTGTCATTGGAGCAAACCTTTGAGGAATGTGTCATCGTCTTCTTTTGTTTCATAGGCAGGACGTGTGGCCAGAGGAACTTAAGCAAGAACTTCAAGATTGTGGGTGGGCAGACGGCCTCTATTGAATCCCAGCCTTGGATAGCCACCATTTTCTACTCCAGAGGGAATCAGTTTTTTTGTGGTGGCAGCCTCATTGACCCCTGCTGGGTCCTTACAGCAGCACATTGCTTCACGGACACGTATGTACCCCACCCAAACATTCTTTGCCTCATCTTCATTGCTAAATCAATTGTCTGGACCAGAGGTCTTCAAACTTGGGAGCTTTAAGACTTGTGGACTTCAACTCCCAGAATTCTGAGACTTGAAGTCCACAAGTCTTAAAGCTCCCAAGTTTGAAGATCTCTGGTCTGGACAGTGGTCCAGTGGTCTGGACAGTGTCAGCTTCTACAGCAGTGAAAGGAGGGTAGTCATCTGATTGATATAAAATGAGCCTGAGCCTGGATAGCTCAGCAGACTAATGCATTGTAATTTAACTCCAGCTGTCTACAATTAGTGAGTTCGAATCTCACCAGGCTCAAGGTTGACTCAGCCTTCCATCCTTTCTAAGGTAGGTAAATTGAGGACCCAGTTTGTGGGGGCAATAAGCTGACTTTGTATAAATATACAAAAGTATGAAGGCTATTGCTTAACACATTGTAAGCTGCCCTGAGTCTCCGGAGAAGGGCGGCATATAAATCAAATTTAAAAAAAAAATAAAAAAATATTTATGCAGAAGTAATTGTTGTTGTTAGTTGCAAAGTCGTGTCTGACACATCATGACCCCATGGACAACGTTCCTCCACGCCTTCCTGTCCTCTACCATCCCTCGGAGTCCATTTAAGATCACGCTGACTGCTTCAGTGACTCCATCCAGCCACCTCGTTCTCTGTCATCCCCTTCTTCTTTTGCCCTCAATCGTTCCCAGCATTAGGCTCTTCTCCAGGGAGTCCTTCCTTCTCATTAAGGTGGCCAAAGTATTTGAGTTTCATCTTCAGGATCTGGCCTCCCAAAGAGCAGTCAGGGTTGATTTCCTCTAGGTTTGATCGCCTTGCAGTCCAAGGGACTCGCAGGAGTCTTCTCCAGCACCATAGTTCAAAGGCCTCAGTTCTTTGGCGCTCAGCCTTCCTTATGGTCCAACTTTCACAGCCATACATTGCAACTGGGAAAGTTCAAGAAACTTGACTATGTGCACTTTTGTTGGCAGGGTGATGTCTCTGCTTTTTAGAATGTTGTCTAGATTTGCCATAGCTTTCCTCCCCAGGAGCAAGCGTCTTTTAATTTCTTGGCTGCAGTCCCCATGTGCGGTCATCATGGAGCCCAGGAAAATAAAATCTGTCACTACCTCCATTTCTTCCCCATCTATTGCCAGCAATAGAGATGACTGGATGCCATGATCTTACTTTTCTTAATGTTGAGTTTCAAGCCAACTTTTGCACTCTCCTCCTTCACCTGCATCAAGAGGCTCTTTAGTTCCTCTTCTAAATTGCAGAAGTATTATTACCTTAATAAAATTAGGAAAGACCTAGTCTCCTAAAACTAGATTTGCAACCACATCTTATGTTATTAATTCTGTATTCACTTGAAAGCGAAGTCTCCTTCAAGTTGAGTTCAGTTTCTGACAACCTTAGCAACTGTGTGGGAAGTGATTTGTTCTTATCATCTTTTGGGGATGTTTTCCTAGTGCCCAATTTGATTTTTGTCCTGGTGCTTCCTCTGATCTCCTTTCCATAGAGTAATCTGGCTGCACCTGCTCAGTTTCAGAGCCCAGATGAGGTCAGGTGCTCTTCTACCCCTCCTTGAATTGGCAGCCCCAGTCCTGCTCTCTATCCCAGGGGTCTCCAAACTTGGCAACTTTAAGACTTGTGGACTTCAACTCCCAGAGTTCCTCAGCCAGCTTTCCTGGCTGAGGAACTCTGGGAGTTGAAGTCCACAAGTCTTAAAGTTGCCAAGGTTGGAGACGCCTGCTCTATCCTGTTTCCATGCCTCTGTTCCCAATTAATGCCAGTGCTCCAGGTTAAACAAAAAAACCCAAGAAAAACCAAACAGATTTTGTGCCCCCTTGAGGTTGACTTTGGATGGAGATGGAAAAACTGGGCAAAGACCAATTTAAACACAAGAACAGCTAGAAATGACTTAGCTCTTTCTCTTCGAGCTGAATTTTACGAAGCACTTGGTGTGTCTGTGCAAAGAATACAACGAGTCAAATAATTGTAAAGGTTTGACTAGTACACAACAGAATGAAATTGCATGGTGGAAATTCTCTCTGAAATTTACAGCTGTATTGTATTTGCCTTTTTTTTTTTAGTGACCCTGATATATCCAAGCTCATAATTAGGCTGGGGAGGTCTGCAACAAATACCAGCAATGCAAACGATCAAGAATTCAGAGTTGAGAGGCTTATCATTCACGAGGCGTTTTCAAAACAAACTAGAGATTATGACAACGATATCGGTAAGGGACCTTTTTGCATTGTCTTCCTGTCCAACACAAAACTTTCTGATTTGATTCTCATGCTGATGTAAGGTCCCAAAATGTACTTGAGTCACCAGAATGCCAAATAGAGAGACTCAAGAAGAGGCTTGAAAAAATATCAGCTTTAATTTGTACAAAGAGCTGGGTAGACCATACCACTACACACAGACAAAGAGCATGCAGTGAAAGGCCACACTTGGAGGAAAGTATGACGTCCTTTTATACCTTCAGAGGCATTAGCGTAGTACCCAATTCTGGCCCATGCCTTCCTTTGGCAATGCAGCAAGGAACAGGGGGGTTGAGTGCTTAGCAACAGAGGGGCTGGGTGCTTAGCAACACAGGTACCAGGCTCGGAGTTTTACACAAAAACAAGATAACCGAAGTGAGATCCCTGGTAGGAGCAAATGGCAGAGGCCATTCCAATTCTTACAGGAGCAAAGCAATTCTTATAGAACTGAAATAGCAAGTTATTATGATGTCCCAGTAATTCTACTTATTCTATTATTATGTCCCTACGCTGAAATGCAATATGGGGATGGTGACCACAAATAACAGTTTAGAAAAAAGTTGTGAATACAAACGAACTCTTCTCTCCTTTTCTCCAGACTCGTGAGGTGTTTATTCACTAATAATATTTTTTGAGAATATTAACATTAATGTCAGTATAGTCAAACATTTTGAGAGCCAGAAATGCCATCTCTCCTTTTTCTGGAAAGAGTGCATGTGTAGAAAGTTAAAGAGATCAGTTTAATATTTAAGGAGATTAGAGTTAGACAGAGACCAATCATTCAGGGTTAATTTGATTGCTATCTTAGCTCTGGTTTGTTATCTGTGTGCTCAGACTTTGATTTCACAGTTCAATTAGATATAAATGAGGGAGGGGTGTTGTGGCACATGTACCTAATTCTAAATTTGCCTATACTTAGCATAGGGCTATTGAAGTAAGTGAGATTTAAGTTAACAGAAGTCCCATTAGTTTTGTTGTATTAAGTACGAATCCAGGTAATTTGAGTCCAGTATGACTGATATCCGATGGGGATCAATGTTAATTGATTAATATTTATTTCTTAGACCAGAGGTCTTCAAACTTGGGAGCTTTAAGACTTGTAGACTTCAACTCCCAGAATTCTCCAGCCAGCTATGCTATGCTGGCTGGAGAATTCTGGGAGTTGAAGTCCACAAGTCTTAAAGCTCCCAAGTTTGAAGACCTCTGTCTTAGATCAAGTAAAGAAAACAGCTACTTGAAAGCTACAGTATATTTTCTACCTGTGATTACAATCTAAATGATTGTTTGGAGGCTGGGGGGAAGACCAAAGATTTGGATTTTGTAATTTAACTTTGGAAATAAATTTATCAACAGATAAATGTTGAGTTAATACATATGAAGACTCAAATATATTAAATTATTTGGAAAAGCGATGGATTAGGTGATACTTTTTATCAGAATAAATAATTGAAGGGAAAGTTTTTACAAAAGTTTATAGTTTTGCTATATTCATTGTTTTCCCCTTCTCTCTTCTTTTAGCCCTAATAAAAATCAGATCCTCTTCTGGCCAATGTGCGAAAGAGTCGAGCATTGTCAAAACCATCTGTTTGCCCTCAGAGAATTTAATGCTGAGAGACCATTCCCACTGTGAAGTTTCTGGCTATGGAAAACAAAAGAAAAGTAAGTGCATCTTTTTCCCCTTCCTTCAGGCATCTCAGAGTATGGAAAAAGACAGACAAGATGGTGGCCACCAGAATATGGTTGAAGCTCCACCTATTTTTATATGTGATGCATGATACATGTGTTGTGGTCTGCTGGCAGCCTGCGGAGCTGGCAGCAGAGTCAGACAGTGAGAAGGCTGGGGAAGAACATGGGCCAGTCCTGGAGTCTGAGGAAGGCTCTGATGAGGGCTCTGCATCAGAGGCAGAGATGGGGCCAGGGCCATTGGGGAGTTATGTGCTGACTCTGGAGCCTCCAGAGTCTGACGTCAGAGAGGCAGAGGAACAGGGGGAGCTTGTTCCCAGTGCACGCATGCGCAGAGCTGCCAGAAGGCAAGAACCATTAAGACAAAAGGGGTGACTCGGGAGTAAGGCTTGGAGATGATTGTCTTCTCCCATAAGACATAAAGGAGGAGCAAAGGCACATGAGCCTTTGCAGGAAGCAACTTCGTTTGTGCTGGTCAGTTTAAATTCTGCAGCTCCGTTTTGACTCTGTGCTCCGTGTGGTCTTGCAAAGCTAATTGCCAATTAGGTCTTTGGCAGCGTGTCAAGGGAGATAAAGGTGGGTGCTTATCAGCCTTATCCCGAAGGACTGCGGCAGACTTCTGTTGGACTCTTTACAAACTCTTTGTGACTCATCACGGGCTATGAATGAACAGAATTCACAGCTGTTGAAATAAAAAGAGGGTTTTTGGGACTAATGGTGTGCTTTTTACTGTCTGAGGAAGCCTAGGTCAGAACAAATAGGTGGAATTTTGATCAAGTGATTATGGCCCCTATTTTGACTGTCTGGACCATATCTGCAGTTCCACCCTTGCAAAGCCTCAAATTTGTGAAGAATAGTTTCTGCAGATGTGGTTGGAACATGGGCTACAAGCAAGGGTTGGGCATGTGGGAATCCTCATTCCCTTCTGTTTTCTCTGAAGTAAAAAAGTTCACATCCACTTTGTCCCACACCGGTTTTATCTGTTTTGTCTACAGCGGCCATTTACTACTCACGAGTACTGAAATCAACCAGTGTACAATTAATACCCCAGTCCACGTGTAAAAGATACTACGGGGATCGCAAGGTGAACGAGAACATGCTCTGCGCTTCAGACCCGGAGTGGAAGTCTGACTCATGCAGCGTAAGTTTGTTTAGGGGACATTTATACATTTGGTAACTACAGAATACTCTGGTGTGAAGAGGGCTACGCAGAGAAGACTCGTAATACGCTAAACTTGCCTAATCTGGGATGGGTGGAACATAATGTCGCAATATATGATCAGAATTCAACAGTTGCTTAGCACATTGGGTAGACCCAATCAACATGTTAAGCCACAATAGGGTTTCCTTTCAACTGTTTGTTAGTGACCATTTGAAGTTACAATGGCACTGAAGAAAGTGACGTGACCATTTTTCACACAAGTGTCATAGCATCTCCATATTCAAAATTCGGATGCTTGGCAACTGGCATGTATTTATGAGGCTTCCAGCATCCTAGGTTCATGTGATCCAGGAGTGAAATCCAGCAGGTTCTGACAGGTTCTGGAGAACTGGTAGCGGAAATTTTGAGCAGTTTGGAGAACCGGTAGCGGAAATTTTCAGCAGAACCAGCAAATACCACTTCTGGTTGGCCCCAGAGTGGGGTGGGAATGGAGATTTTGCAATCTTCTTCCCCCAGGAGTGGGGAGAGAATGGGGATTTTGCAATATCCTTCCCTGGAGTGGGATGGGAATGGAGATTTTGCAGTATCCTTCCCTTGCCATGCTCACCAAGCCACGCCCACAGAACCAGTAGTAAAAAAATGTGGATTTCACCCCTGATGTGATCCACCTTTTACGACTTTCTGGTAAGCAGAAAGTCAGTGGGGACGCCAAATTCACTTAGCAACCGTGTTACTAACTTAAGAACTCCAGTGATTCACTTAGCAACTGGCAAGAAAGCTCGTAAAATGAGGGAAAATTCACGTAACCATTGTCTTACTTAGCAGTGGAAATTTTGGGCTCAATTGTGGTCGTAAGTCGAGGACTATCTCTACATGTTGAGACACAGCAGCTGAGATTTGCTAAGCAGGCTTAACACTGAGTGGGTTGGTTGGAGGTCATTCATGGACAGGAGTGTGCATGCAGAAACTTTTCATTGGGGAAATTTCAGGGTGCCAAGTAACACCCCAAATGAAAGAAGACTCCGAGGCAAGAATTTCCTCAAAGTTCCATTTTATTAGAGATGGTCACATTGGCACATCTGGGAAAACCCGAATCTGAAAGCTTCCAGGTTTTCCCCACCCAGAGAAAAGCCCAAGTCCCTGCCCAGCACCCACATGTACATCAGAGCCGAGGTGGCGCAGTGGTTAGAGTGCAGTACTGCAGCTACTTCAGCTGACTGCTAGTTCAGCAGATCAGCGGATCAAATCTCACAGGCTCAAGGTTGACTCAGCCTTCCATCCTTCCGAGGTGGGTAAAATGAGGACCCAGATTGTTGGGGGCAATATGCTATTTAGTATACTGTCTTTGGTGTAAGCCGCCCAGAGTCCTCGGAGAGTGGGCTGCATAGAAATATGACTAATAATAAAATATGACTAATAAATATGGTCCAACCAATGCACCGTCCCAACTGGAGATGCCTCCCAGTCACACCACTTCAGGTGCAGGGCAGCATGTCCTTGACTCTCAAAGAAAGAATGTTATTATGGCTAGATATCTCTCCATACAATCCCCCCTCCCAGTTTCCCACAGCACTAAACGTGGCAGCCCTGAAGATCCAAAGTAAAAGATGGCTTCCAGGACTGACAGGAATATGTTCTGCCCTCTCCACTTCCTTGTTTAAACGTGAGACAAAGTTGGCGTGCTGCAAAACCAAGCTGCATCCTTGAGCATTCATTGATCTTTCCATGATGTCGCTCATCAGCATAAGCCTGCTTGCAAAACAGAAATGATGGGAAGCTGCAGCATGATGCTGGGTTGGACACCCAAGGAAGAAGCAAGAGGGGACTAGAGGCCCCTTGGCAGCTGGCTTCTCGTACATTGTTTTGTGACGGGGCCTCCGAGCTGTTAACTTGCAAGACTCAAGTTCCCTCTGCTGTGGTTTCTGTTGGGCTGGTCTTTCCCTTGGATCTCAGGGATCTGGTAAAGATGAGATCCTTGATGTTAGGGCTGAAGCTGCCACTGCTTCTTCCTGTCCTTGGAGAAAACTGCCACTGCTCCCAAAGACGACAAACCCTCTGTAGTTAAATAAATGTTCCCTTTATTAGGAGCGCCAGCAGCTCCAGCAAAATGTCTCTCTCTCACAGCAGGCTTATAAGTCTGTCCGGCAGGGAGATGAATAGTTGTCTGCCACACCTATTCATCTCCGCCCCCTGCCTTTTATCCCCAGAGATAGGGTGAGGCTTCACTCACAGCAGTGGCTCTTCCTTCCCAAGGACCGGCCTATAGATTTCCACTGCTCTCCTCTCCTCGGCCTTCTGGGCATCAGGCACTGGACCCAGCTGTTCCTCCTCTTCCTCATCAGCCACCTGTTGACTCTCCATCTGAGGGCTGATGGATGGCCCAGGCTCCGTCTCTGTCTCTCTCTCTCTCTGACGGTTCCATTCCCTCTTCCCCCTCGGAGGTCAGCATCAGATTGCCTTGATACTGACCCTGACTCCCATGCCTCCTCCTCCTCCTCTGATTTGGCTGCCAGAGTGGCCGGCAGCTGGCAGGCCACAACAAAGTCACTGCTGTGATGAAAGGAATAGGAATAGGAATAGGAATAATAGGAATTGAATTGAATTGAATTGAATTGAATTGAATTCTTTATTGGCCTAGTGCAGTGTTTCTCAACCTTGGTAGCTTGAAGATGGGTAGACTTCAACTCCCAGAATCCCCCAGCCAGCAGCGCTGGCTGGGGGATTCTGGGAGTTGAAGTCCATCCATCTTCAAGCTTCCAAGGTTGAGAAACACTGGCCTAGTGTGATTGGACACACAAGGAATTTGTCTTTGGTGCATATGCTCTCAGTGTACATAAAAAGACAAGACCACAACTGAAATTGTGCTTTCAAACGATGCTACCTTCCCTTGCTAATAAACCTTCCATCTTGCTTGGTTTTTCCAGGGAGATTCAGGTGGTCCCCTCACCTGCATGTCCAACGGCAGGATGGTGCTCTATGGGATCGTCAGCTGGGGAGATGGCTGTGCAAAGGAAGAGAAGCCTGGCGTGTACACCAGAGTCAGCAGATACATCCCTTGGATTGACTCCAACATGAATAAAATCCATTTCAGAAGTTTCTACCCTCCGAAATGAAAGGGGAGGGGGGCGTTTTCCTTTGCTTGGCGTTAGCCATGATGTCAGACACGTGGAATTTGAGCCAAGTCTTTGCAGGTGTTGAAATGCCAAGCCCTGCGTTGGAGTTGATGGCTCTTTGTGGGATTCATTTGTTAAAGTTCGGGCAATTTCTCTTTGGAGGGACAGATGCTCAACCCATTGCTGGGAACAATACAAAAACTATCCCAAGACATTTAACTAAGACATTTAAGTGGGATTTAAATCATGTCCCACAGAAGAGTTGGCGTGATACAATCAGTGGGTTTTTTAAAAAAAGATTTTAGTAAGGTTTTAAAATCGATAATTAACTTACTAACAGATGGCGCTGTTGTACAGAAATGTACAATTTGATATTATTTTAAAATATTGCAGTATTAATCTGAATGAAATTTAGAAGACTTTTAACAGTGCAACCCTGTCAGGTTGATATTTGCTATATTTAGCTGACTTTTTAACTGCCTTTTTTTTAAAAAAAAAATTCAAAATGCAATCTGATCCAATATTGAGGTAAAAATATTCCTCAGTACTTATTGACATTCCAGTTTCTATGAAAATAGTAGTGTAGATACAACGATACATTAAAAAATTACTGGTAGATTTTACTCTAGTTGTGTTTTACACGTGAAGCAGTCTTGGCACTTGTTCATTAGCATCTTCTCAACTATGTTGGAGATAAAATAAGGTTTTAAGCAAATGATCCATTTTAGGGCCCACCCGAGAATATTTTTTTCATCCTCAAGTTTTTGTGCCACATACAATTTGAAATAATTGCAATGTGGTAAAAAAAAATGTTGGGAATACCTGTGTGCTACTGATGACATTATTAAAACTCCAAGATTAGAGTCTTCATTATTTCTCTAAGCAAGCAGGCCCTTTTCTAAAATAGCAGAAAGTTTTTAGGTCCATAGAGAACTTTGGCTGAGCCATTCGTGCAGACAAGAAGCAAAATATCTCAAGAATTTTAAAAAAAATGGAGGCAGGAACAAAATCCATAAGAAAGTGCTTCAGTTGAAATTAATTGGAGCTATGGTTGATTTTGAACTTAACTCAAACTATTTCTGGTATTACTTTTGTTTTAAAAGGTCAGAAATGCATTAGACATTTGGTTTAAAAGCCTTAGGAAGCAAGGGTTAGAAAATTTCTGAAATTATAATGTTCAGAGTTAACATTTCCCTGCTATAAATTCGGAGTGTTGTATTCAATGTGGTTAAAATCGTCGCTGTACTTCAGCATCCTCCATCTTGGTCTTCTAGAAACTTCCGCGGACCCTTGGTCCCTCTCTTAATGACAGATCTGACTGTAATTCTTTAGCAGTAAAGTGACTACATTTTAGTAGGTGTCAAATTCCACCAGCGTTCAATAGCACAAGGCACAAGAAAAAAAACATTTTAATACCGCTGAGATGAAGAGCCAAACAGTCCTTGAATGAAGACAGGACTTGAGATGGAATGTTGGAAATTCAATGGGACGCTCAGAAGTCTTTGATAAAATTATGAGCCGTAGCAAAATGATGTAAGTTGGTAACGCAGACGTGCCTACAGTTTTAAGGTCAAATGTATTCTCGGATAATTCCATAAATGTCCCACTTTCCAAATGCATCTACCATCTTTTCTGAATCTAAATATAACCTGAACAAGGCTGGAATTTGATCAACACAAGTAGTCATGAAAATGTTGTTTAATGCAGGGGTCTCCAACCTTGGCAACTTTAAGACTTGTGGACTTCCATTCCCAGAATTCCTCAGCCAGCTTTGCTGAGGACTTGTGGACTTCCACTTCCAGAATTCTGCTGGCTGAGGAATTCTGGGAGTGGAAGTCCACAAGTCTTAAAGTTGCCAAGGTTGGAGACTCCTGGTTTAATGTATAGTTTGGCGATTTACTTGTTTTCTGTGACTCATATATAGTATTAGCTTTTTATAATATTCTTTTATTCAATGAAAAGATCATTTGTAATGGGGGCTGGTACCCTTCCTTGTTATTTAATATTTTTACTTTATTTAACTTATTGTAATATATATTACAGGTTTAAACAAAAATAAAATTCCCTGTTAATAAAACAGAATTGGTGTCTTCTTTGGGGTGCTCTTAGGATCAAGCTATTCCACCACCAGAGGGGAGAAGTGATTCACCCACTGGAATAATGTGAATGATGTAGGAATAGTACAGGGTCAGCTATATGAACACTGAAGGACCCTCTTTATTTACATTATTATAAGAAAGAAATGTGCTTGTTTAGAAATTTCACTAAGTCAGCTAAATTCCATTCTTGGTAATATATATACCTTCTGAGGGGCCTAGCTGTCAAGGATACAAGGACATCCATAAGAAACTAAAAGTTACTCATTATCCAAAAGCAGTCATGAATCTATGCATCAGCAATCACAAAATTAATAAAGGATGTTTAGCTAAGATGATCTCATGTATTAGAAATTAATGTATGAATTTAGTAATATAGAAAACTGATGAAAGTATCAATCATCACCTAACAAATATACGTTAACCATATATGGAAAACTGCTGTGCTTGCAAAATCCTTTGTCTTGGAGATGTATAAAAGCAGTTGTATCAGAGCTCTTTGTTCAGAATTGCAGATACAAATCTGATTCTGAAACTGCGCAATAAAACTGTCTCTGGCTGACCCAGGAATGTTGTTTGGTCCCATCATTCCATAACAGGAAGGGATCAATAAAAGGGGTGGGGGGTTGGGAACAGGAAACCAAGATCAGAAACGTAATAAGGAGTTTGCAATGAGAAAAGAAAGACTTCCCTGCTAATTCTCCACTAATATTTAAGATGTGGCACATTCACAGCAAATAATGCCGAAGACAGGACTCTTTCTATTATTCATACTAATCACAATTGATGGTATTACTAGATCATACGACTCTTCAATAGGATTAATGATTTCCATATTTCTTAAAACTTCAGGTTAGCCATCATTTTATGGCAATGTTCCTTTTTCCGTCACACGTGGCAGTTCAGCCATTGTCCATCTGGGGGAGACAAAGTATAATTTGCAGTAAAAACTTGGGTGTTCGCGTCCATCTCCCTTTGTGCTGGATGGAATTTAGCGACTGTTTTCAAACATGATTTTGGTTGGCCACATTCATGCAAAAAATACTTGCAGGGATCTTAAACACACCACTTTAGATGAATTCCAGTCTAAAGCATAAGATGCACAAGCCCCAGTTTATTAGCTGCAGTATATGATGCATAAACCCTGGTTTTTTAGGCTAACAGAGGACTACCCTGAAAAGAGTAACGACCATGGAGACGTTTTCGGACAGCGCTGGCTCTTCGGCTTTGAAACGGAGATGAGCACTGCCCCCTAGAGTCGGGAACAATTAGCACATACAATATGTGCGAGGGGAATCTTTACCTTTACCGATCATAAATTAACTCAAGGGTATCTGCAGAGTATGGTCAAAAAAATTCAAGATGGTGACTATAACAATACAATCAAAACTGCTATCCTGACTTTTTTCGACCATCCCTTGCAGACACCGCTGGTTTAATTGAAGGGCTGATGGCTCTTTTCTCACATAAGGCTGATGTTCAGTTATCCTGTTTCACAACATTCCCTTTTCTCTCTTTCCCGTCTTCTCCGAGTTATCCATGACAGTGGTAAAATTCAACTGGATCTATCCAGCTCGTGCGATCCGGTAAGGCCGGTCCCGTTTTGACCCTCTGCGCATGTGTGGAGCAGGCACGCGTGCTCACATTTGCGATCCAGTAGCGAAAGTAAATGCATTTTACCCTGATCCATGAGTGCCCCTCTGCACTCTTTCAAGTCCAACCATCTGCCCATCAAGCCAGTTTTCTCATTGGAGTAATGGAGAGTTAAACTGGTTGCTTGGAGCTTTTGAACAGTTTCTTGACATAATTCTGTCTCTTCTGCCCCCCTCCCCCGCCAACAATTTTGCAATCACAAGGACTTCATTTTGGAATAGGGAGTTTGCTCGAAGAGTTCCTACAAGAACCAAGAAAAGTCTTAAAAGGACAAAGATTTGTTTTATTTCCAAAAGCACCAGGCAAGAAATTGGTATGTTGTCAGAATGTCATTTTGTATTTGTGTGTATGATTGTCAGGAAAGAAGGAACCTACCCCCTTCCCCTTCCAGGTGTAATTTGCAGCAAGATTGTTGTTACTATAGCAACCTGGTTGATCTACTGCAGGCTGGGTGTTGTTGTTTTTTTAACAAATAATTTTTTTAATGAAGAACATGCTCACTGCAGATCCCACAGGAGGATCACAGTTCCTCATTCTGACTTGCTTGTGGCATTTGTTGTCTAGTTTTGAAGTAAACAAACACCAGTCAAAACTCCCAAGAGAAAACAATCGTAATTTTATTTACTACTGTAGAAAGTTAGCACCCACCCTTCTCCTAGAAGAATGAAATATTCTGGGAAATATTAAAAAAAGGCAGAATATTATATTTTCCTTAAAGGAGAAACGATGTTTCTAAAGACATAAACTCAGACCCTCAGCTGCCTGCCCCCCCCCGCCCCCGGCAGATATTTTGGTGCCAACCAAGGGGTGAAAACTACTTACCTTCCCTACTGGTTCAGAAGTGCATCACATACGCTTTTGGACCCCCTGCGCATGCGCAGAGGGTAAAAAAAAAAAGATGACCAGGTGCGTGGGCAGAGCCTCGCACTGCCGCTGCTACTGGTTCTCCGAACCACCCACTACTGATTCAGCTGAACCGAGCTGAACCGGTAGCATTTCACCCCTGTGCCAACCTATCTACAAGACAAAGGCTGGGCCAGCTTATCTACAAAACAAAAGACCTTCCCCCTCAGGACATAATAGGATTAGCCCTCTATCCATCTCACCACATGGCACCTGGGAAGATTGCATCACCCAGTAAGGTTCAACCAAGCCTGGGACTCAAGACAGCCTACAAAGTTATCCCTACATGGCCCCATGGGAGCCTGACAACCAATCAGAATAAATGCCCTTGTGAACAGGAAGCAAGTTCACAGCCCAAGAGAGGGTATAAAACTCTCTCTCTCTCTCACCCATGTGCTCAATTGCCCAGGACCTCAAACCCATGTGGTCCTGTCCACCATTAAACCATCTTTCCAAACAGCCTCCATGTTTCCAGTGTCTTTCTCCCCACTTCGAACTGAACCCGGATGGACATTTCTTCCAACACTACTTTGCAAAGAGGGTGAACCATGCACACACAGGTACAGTGGACACACCTTAAATCATCAATCTATTTTCTTTATATTCCCTATTACCATTACAAATTTACCTCCCACCTTTTCCTCATTGGCTTAGTACTCATGCCGTCACAACCTATCTGAAGCATCTAAAGTGAATAAATTATCTCCATCCTTGATTACATCTCTCATTACTCTAATTCTACCACCCACCCTGCCCTTATTTACAAATTACCTTTTATGGTCCTACCCTGTTTCCCCGAAAATAAGACCTCCCCTGATAATAAGCCCAATTGGG